CCCCAAAACCCCAAAACCCCAAAACCCCAAAACCCCAAAACCCCTCAGATCATAAATTACCTATAATTAGAAGGAAGTGATTAGGAATAAATTAAAAGTAGTAAAGATTATGTCACCTATAATTAATTATTAGATTTTCAAAACACACTTGTCTAATGCAACTTCAAGCCTGGCCATTTTAATTTTTTCAATATCTAATAGTCAAATCTTTTATTTCTTCTGCTAATGTAAGTTTAAAGTAATGCTCAATGTCGTACTATCTAACTTTGATATTTAAATTTATAAACTCTTCTCCCATTGCCTTTCTAAGCAGATCCCCAGATTCGCTTTCAAGATATAAAAGCACATCATCCCATCTTGAAGGAAGATGTTTAAATGCGTTAAGTTTAGGGTTTTATGGGAGTGGTTCGGGCAATAGTTTTGACTCATTTATACCAATCATCCCTAGATTGATGATAGCTGCTAAGACATAGTAATGATTAGCGGTGTGATCTAAGGTCTTTAATTCGATATTTTTCTGCATCGGCATGAATCTTAGAGGGGCCTCTTTATTTTTGATCCCCCAAGAGATCATACTTCCTACACATACGCTTGGTTAAAGTCTCTTCAGCCCATTGTAAGTAGGTGATATAAAAGAGATAAAGGCTGGGAGAGCTTCTAGCAAAGAAGCGAAAAAGCTGTTTGCAGTTGAGCCCATTTGATGCTTCGCTTCATTATCAACTGTGATATTCTTTCCATCTTTCCAGAGACTCATGTGAACATGAGCTCCATTCTAAGTAATTGATGAACTCTTAGGTATGAAAGTGCCTATTAATCCATTTCTTCTCAAAACTGCTTTAATTGCCTCTCTCGCCATAAAGTATCTGTCTAATGACTTTAACGCGCTATCATATCCCAAAACTATTTCATACTATCCTGGACCAGTTTCTTTATGAATAACTAGTACTTCAATGTCGAGTAATTCAAGGTTATTACAAATCTCATCAAGGAGGAATGCATACAAGTCTGTAGAGTTAGAGTTTGAGTATCCATTGAGCTCTACAGCCTCGAAACTTTAATTAAAAATGGCGAACTCAACTTCGAATCCTATTTTTAGTTCAAGTCCATGTTCTTTTTATAGTACTTCAGTAGCTTAAATGACTTATTGTCTAGGACAATACTTCCAGGGTAAGCCTTCACAGTCATAAATATTACATAAAACTGCTGCGTGAGTTGGATAATAAGGTAATACTTTGTAAGTTGATCTATCTGGCTTCATGATAACTTCTTCATCTATAGCTCCACATCCATCAACTAACCAGTTGTAACATATTGGACTAAAGAATGCAGCAGAGCAAAGATGAAGTTCAAAGTCTTCCTTTATGTACTCCTTTATTGGAACGATCTTGACACATCTCATCCCATTCAACTATTACCAGAATAGGCGAACGAACTTAACTTCGGGAATGTATTCCATCTAAAAATAACTTTTCAATAAATTAATTATTGTATACCTAGCTCTCGACTTTAAATATTTCTATTTTAAACAATTATTAATACTTATTCTTTTAATAGAACAGCGTGATAATTAATGGACTTTGAAGAGGCTGAGAGACAAAGAGTCTGGCTTATGTCGGGACATATTAAGAAACTTGGATACTAAAATGCATGCACAACTGTGCTATTCAACAAGTATCCAACACTAGACAAAATAGACACAACATTCTACCCTACAAATCCAGATGGAACAAAAAACTACAAAATTGTGGACTCCTCAGTTCTGGGAATCATCCCTGGATCACTAGCTGAAACATTCAATTATTGCTCAGGAGATCCAACTGATCCTGACTCTAAGTGGTAGAACCCTCACGAGCAATATGTGATTTCCCAGATGGGCAAGTTGCTAGGTATTCAAGATGTAACCGGATACATGTCTTCAGGAGGAACTGAAGGCAATCTAGCTGCAATCTGGTGGTGCAAAACTAATCTGACGACTAGAAGTCAATCGAAAATACAAGAACTCAAGGACCGCATCAAGCAACACAAGAATTAACAAGAAGTAGATTATGAAGAGATCTTAAACTTAAAAGAAAAAATATCAAAATTGAGAAGACCATATATAGTAGCAACTAAGTCTCCTCATTCCCATTTTTCTGTGATTAAAGTTGCTTCAATCATAGAACTAAATACCCTGTATATAGATGGAAACGATAATGGTTCAATGAATTTAGACTCCCTTAGAGATAACTTAAGATCTGTTCAAAGTGAAGAGGACTTGACTTTCATCGTGAGTATCAACTTTGGAACAACCACTTAAGCAGCTTTCGATGATGTGTTTGAAATTAGGAAGATTTTTGATGAAATGAAAAATCCTAACTGGAAATATGTGGTTCATATGGATGCTGCAATGTATGGACCTACTCTGCCAGTTCTCAAATAGTTTGGAGACAAGAGTAATAGTTTGACTTCTTGCGGAGTTGATACTGTAGCTATCTCTCTCTGGAAATTCCTTGGAGTCTAAATACCATGTGGAGTGAGTTTATGTACAAGAGAATTCATTAAGCAAGGCTACGAACCCCTAAAAGCTACCACATATAAAGACTTTCCACTCGCTAACGATAATTTTATACTCGCAGGAACCAGATCAGGTATTGCTGCTGCAGCTGCATATAACATCATCAAGACTTTCAAGTTAGAGGAAGGATTAGACATCTTGAAGAAGTTTATTGATTATGATATTGAAATGGCTATTTACCTTTAAGAATAGCTTGAGAAGATATATGATAAGAGTGAGATTCGCAGAATGTACTTCAACGTAGTTTTTCCTAGAAGGCATGTTCCAGAAGATTCAATCAGTAAGTTTATATTAATGAAGGTGGGAAAGACTGAATTGTAGGCTATCACACTGATGAATGTTAATAGGACTCTCATTGATGAATTTATCAATGAAATACTAGCACATATCTCAAATAATGAAGTCGCTCAGGCTGTATCAGAATGATCAATAATCTTCGTGAAACTATATTAGATATTATGATAAGTTATTTTTAGATAAAGAAGTTTTAATTATTTACTATTCAGAAATATAATAAAATCAGTAAGTATGGGGTTTTGGGGTTTTGGGGTTTTGGGG